AAAAGCTGGGCCCAGATTGAAAATGTCTGAACTCAGGGATGGGCCTCGGACTGCATTTCTAGCAAGTACTCAGGGGATGGTGATAGTGGTGGTTGCCTGCTGAGAGGCAAAACTTTGCCTGTACCTGCTGAGAGGCAAAACTTTTGAGAAGTGATTTTTGAGAAGTGATTAATTATACCATGAAGGTAGGGCCCTTTTGAATGGATCTGTCCCTTCCTAGATTAGTGGGTTAATGGATCATAGGGGCATGGCTTTGCTATAAGAAAGGAGCTTTCAGGACTTTCTGGTCTCCAGAGCCATGAGCCAAATAAACCTTTATTTACACATTATCTGGCCTATGGTGTTTGGTTATATAAACAGAAGATGGACAGTCACCAGGTGTGGTGGTGCTTGCCTATAATCCCAGCACTCTGGTCACTTTGTGTTATGCTTTCCACCTAGATGTCCCCGCAAAGCCTCATGCATTCAGAGGCAGGGCTTGTGGAAGGTAACTGGATTATGGGGGTGCTACCACTGGTTTGGTGTTAAGAGGTAGGGTAGGGCCTGGGCCGGGGATGTAGCTCAGTGGTGCTGTGCCTGCCTGGGAAGCACAAGGTCCTGAGTTCCATCCCCGGTACCAAAAAAAAAAGAAGTGGGGCCTGCTCGGAAGAGGTGGGTAACTAGGGTGCAACCTGCAGGGATGATGTCATGCTGAGGATGATATTAGGTTGCTTGTGTGGGGGTGGAAAGGGGGCTGGGCCTCAGTCGCCCATGATCTGTACCCTTCCTGTTGTTTCTGTCAGTCACCCGAAAAGGGGACCTTCCTGTGCCCTGCCCACCACCCCACACACCTGGCTTTCTTGACCACAGCTCCTTGCTTCTCTTGTCCCTTCTCTTGCCTTCCTGTCCTGTCTGGTCTGGAGCTGTATTAACATTGTGTGGGCAAAGCGGGCCCAGGGGGTCTCATGTGGCTAGAGGTGGAAATTCTGAGCCTTACCACGCTCTGCTGGATGGGAGGTCAGAGGCTCTGGGTAATTTAGTTGCAGGCAAGGCCTTGGGGAAGAACTTGCTTTTGGCTAAGGGGCCAATCAAACACCTCTGTTACAGCTTGGATGCTGGCCATGCCTGGGGGCTGCTACTGTCTCCATCATGGGTAGCTTGTTGGTGTTGGGAGGATAAGTGAACCTGCAGGGCCTTGACTGTGGGCATAATCTGAGTCAAGCTTGGCAGGCAGAATGGTCATTGATTCATTCAACAAACATTCATTGAGCATTACATTACCATGTGCCAGGCAATAGGAAGGAGTGAACAAGACAGACACAAATCCCTGCATTCATGGAGCTGAGCTGCAAATAGGGGAAAAGATAGGCAATGAATGAGATTAAGAAGTGACATCTATGTAAAGGCAAATGATGATAAAAGTTAAGGGGAAAATAATGTTTGGAGTGTATGAGAAGAGCTGTCTTGAGATTTTAGGTAGAGCATTTTAGAAGATCTCACTGAGAAGGTGGCACTGGACCAAGACTTCCTGTTGCTCCCCCAGGGCCTTTGCACAGCCTCCTTTGCCCTGCCTCCAGGTATCTATGTGACTTCTCTCTCTCCATCTCCTTCAGTCCATTTCAAATGTCCCTTTCCAGAAGGACTTTTCCTAACTATTTTTAAAAAATGAAGACTTAGCCAGGTATGGTGGTATATAACTAATCTCAGCACTGGGGGGCTGAGGCAGGAGGACGGCTGTGAGTTCCAGGCCACCATGGGCTACATAGTGAGACCCTGTCTCAGAACAAACAAACAAACAAAAAATAAAGGAAAAGTTTAGCATGTGCCTGTAGTCCTAGTTACCTGGGAGCTTGGGGGGCTGAGACGGGAGGATCACTTGAGTCCAGGAATTTTTTGTTTGGCTTTCTGAGACAAAGTCT